AGATGGGAAAAGGTTGGGAAGGTGGGAAAAGTGTGGGAAGAAGGAAAGGTTTGGGAAAAGTTTGGGAAGGTGGGAAAAGTTTGGGAAGACAGGAAAAGTTTGGGAAGAGGGGAAAGGTTTGGGAAGAGGGGAAAGGTTTGGGAAGAAGGAAAAGGTTTGGGAAGAGGGGAAAGGTTGGGAAAAGTTTGGGAAGAGGGGAAAGAGTGGGAAAAGGGGAAAAGTTTGGGAAGGCAGGAAAAGGGTTTCTCCACTCAGAGGCAGCTGAAGGGCGGGAAAGATCCACATGCAGGGAAAAGTCTTGGAAAAGTCTTGGAAAAGTCTTGGAAAAGTCTTGGAAAAGTCTTGGAGTGGGGGGGGGACACGGAGCACCCGGAGCACAAACGTTCCTCCGGGAATTCCGGAGGCTCCTCTTGGATCTGAACTAAAGGAGCAGCTCCGGGATGGGACAAATCCCGAGGGATTCCAGGATCAAGTCGCTTTTCCCGCCCTCGGATCCCCAAAATGCCCCGGAAAACATGGAAAACTCGATCCCGAGTTTCACCCCGAGCCCCTTAAAAAAATCTGGGAATGCCGCGGAATGTCTTGGAGCTTCTGGAGGGCTCAGGGATCATCCCATCCCTGGGAGAAAAATCATGGAATGGCAAAGGCGGGAAAAGCCCCTGGAGAGAATCCAAGTGTTCCCAAGTGCCACATCCACGTCCCAAATCCCGGGATTCACAGGGATCCACAATCCCGCCGGGAATGGCGGTGACTCCACCCTCGGGCCGGGGGGAAAATTCCAGGAAGGGATTTTCCCCTCTTCCCAAACTTTTCCCATCTTCCCAAACTTTTCCCAACTTTTCTCATCTTCCCAAACTTTTCCCCTCTTCCCAAACTTTTCCCAACTTTTCCCTTCTTCCTAAACTTTCCCTCTTCCCAAACTTTTCCCAGCTTTTCCCATCTTCCCAAACTTTTCCCCTCAAATTTTCCCTTCTTCCTAAACTTTTCCCATCTTCCCAAACTTTTCCCTCTTCCCAAACTCTTCCCATCTTCCCAAACCTTTCCCACCTTCCCAAACCTTTCCCCTCTTCCCAAACTTTTCCTCTCTTCCCAAACCTTTCCCCTCTTCCCAAACTTTTCCTCTCTTCCCAAACCTTTCCCACCTTCCCAAACCTTTCCCCTCTTCCCAAACTTTTCCTCTCTTCCCAAACCTTCCCCTCTTCCCAAACTTTTTCCCTCTTCCCAAACTTTGCCCAACTTTTCCTCTCTTCCCAAACTTTTCCCAACTTTTCCCATCTTCCCAAACTTTTGCCCTCAAATTTTCCCTTCTTCCTAAACTTTTCCCTCTTCCCAAACTTTTCCCATCTTCCCAAACTCTTCCCATCTTCCCCAAACTTTTCCTCTCTTCCCAAACCTTTCCCATCTTCCCAAACTCTTCCCATCTTCCCAAACTTTTCCCAACTTTCCCCCTCTTCCTAAAAAAGCCTCATTCCAGCACTTCCCTACTCAGCCAAGACCTGTGGGAACATCCCAAAAAAGGTGGG